TGGATCCGTGCATTCGGTCTGAAAGGGGCAGCAGCTTATAAATACCTGCTGTTCCATAAGCGCCACCTGCTGTCAGAGTGACATTTGCGTCTAATTCACAAAGCTAAAATCAAACCATTCTGTTTTTGCTTCAAATTTCGAAATTATACAAACTAATTGAAATCGAAATAACATGTATTTAGCATCTTTGTTTGGATCGTGATTAAAATGCAGTGGTTGCCTCTGATTTTAAATGGAAAAAGCACAGCCAAAGCATTAGTTAGTTTATATGAAGAGATTTATTTTATTTAATTTTTATTTACTGTAATACTTGCGTAATATATGTGTCATGTCTGCACTGCAATTTCCTGAAGGAACCACATTTCTTTTTCCTCTGTAGTGTGTTAAACATGACAGTAAAGCTGACTTTGACTTTGAACATGCATATGTTAATAAGTTATGTTCTGGGTCTCAGGTAGAACTGAGAAGATTTTTATGCTCATTAAAAATATGCCTACTTAGGAGGGATCCCAGAACTATGATTTATTTATTTATTTTTTGCAAATTTGGATGATGTTTGTATTAGAAGAATGTTGGGTACTATCTAAGATGCTGAAACACTCATTCATTCACACACACACACAGGCACACACACCCCTTGGTGTTTTGCTGCTTGCCACTAAAGTGTGAGTTTAAGCTTACCTTTGACCCAACATAAACAGGGCTGACGTTATCACACACTGGGTCATACTGAGCTAATGCAAGCAGCTGAGTCTCCTGTGCTTACTTCTTTTACTTCAGAAACACTGCTCTCTAGAAGATGCCACACTGTCATTTTCATTTTAAGAAGGTTTGAAATTAGGACACCAGTGGGGTTGTCCTAAAGTTAAGTCTATTATCCATATTTTTGTTGACTTAGGAATAGGATGCTTCTGTAATACCCTTTTCCTATCTTTAGTTAAGATATGATGCACTTAGGAAATGTTGTTCTCTAATAGCTTTTGTCCTAAATGAGGTCCTAACTGAAATTGCCATATACCTAACAGATAAGAGAGGATTCTAAAATTAAGATCTTTCTGTAATACCCCCCCGATCATGTTTCATACTCCATACTGAGATGACAGCAAAATTCGATCATGCAAACATATTTCATTAATCTAATTAAAAAAATTTAATAAATAAACATTTTACCTTTGGTTGATAGTAGGTGTGACTTGTAGTGGGAGTCACTTCATCTCATTTGGTTATTGTAAGTCTGTAGTTCATTCTGTCTTGCAGGACGCCCACAAACCCCATTGAATGTTTTGTTGCTGATAACATTATAAGAATTCTCTATTTGCTGGTATAAAATGATCCCATGATTATTTTATACAACCTGAAAGTGTTTGATAGCAGAGTTACCAAGATAAGGTAAGAAATATATATATATTTAATGTTTTTGAAAAAGTCTCTTATGTTCACCAAGGCTGCATCTATTTGATGAAAAATACAGTAATATTGTGAAATATTATTACTGTTTAAATATAACTGTTTAATATATTTTTTAAAGTAATTTATTCCAGTAATGGTAAATCTGAAAATTGATGTAAATTTTCATCAGCCATTGCTCCAGTCTTCAGTGTCACACAAATTTTATTATCAATGTTGAAAATGGTTGTGCTGCGCAATATTTTGTGGATGTACAAATCTTTTTCTTTTTTTTTTAGAATTCTTTGAATACAAAGTTCAAAAGAACAGCGTTTATTTAACATATAAATCTTTTGTAACATAACGGTCTTTACTGACTCTTTTGATCAGTTTAATGTATCCTTGCTGAGTAAAATTCAGAATTAAGAATTAAACTCCAGGCTTTAGCACTAAGCTTCTTTGATTTTGTGTTCACATGGTTTCAGAAATATCTTCAGTTTGAGTAGCACGACTGCATTCTAAATGAATGAATCCCAGAAGAGACGCAATACTTCGACAACTTTCAGACCTGCCAGACATCCTTCAACCGTCTGCTCTCAGACAATATTATTACTGTTTAAATATAACTGTTTAATATATTTTTTAAAGTAATTTATTCCAGTAATGGTAAATCTGAAAATTGATGTAAATTTTCATCAGCCATTGCTCCAGTCTTCAGTGTCACACAAATTTTATTATCAATGTTGAAAATGGTTGTGCTGCGCAATATTTTGTGGATGTACAAATCTTTTTCTTTTTTTTTTAGAATTCTTTGAATACAAAGTTCAAAAGAACAGCGTTTATTTAACATATAAATCTTTTGTAACATAACGGTCTTTACTGACTCTTTTGATCAGTTTAATGTATCCTTGCTGAGTAAAATTCAGAATTAAGAATTAAACTCCAGGCTTTAGCACTAAGCTTCTTTGATTTTGTGTTCACATGGTTTCAGAAATATCTTCAGTTTGAGTAGCACGACTGCATTCTAAATGAATGAATCCCAGAAGAGACACAATACTTCGACAACTTTCAGACCTGCCAGACATCCTTCAACTGTCTGCTCTCAGACAGAGATTTATAAGTCAATGCTAAGGATTGATTCAGACCTGTCTGTCTAAAGTCTAAATCTGAAAGATCCATTCATTTGAGAAATCTTTCTTTGACCCTTTACCCTACAGTTAGTTCCATTCACAAAGTATAAATTTCACTCGAGCTCACCAAGTTTGCTCACAATAGCAGTCAATCAATCATTTATTTAAAATCACACAGAAGGAGCTCGTAATCAACCTGATGACTTGAATTTATGCTTTGACAGTTTAAATGGCAGTGGAAGGAGGATGATTTCATTATGCTTGTCTTGTTTGTCACTATATTTGCAGAGTTAATAGTTGATTCTTGAATTATAGGGAATGCAATTTCCTGAGATAACATGTAGGTGAGCATCTGTTTTTCACATAGATGTCAGTGTGACAGAAGAGGCAATCATCTGTGTGATTAGAGGGGTCTGGTGCACCTGTGGCAGCAGCATGGATTCCCCCAGTGTTTCCATTAAAGCAGAAACCTCAGTAGACAGTTTGGCTCCTTCAGTGCCAGGAACTGGTGTTCCAGTGAGCAAACTGTGTGTCAAATGTCTGGTTCCTGGCACCTGAGGATGGCGGATTCCTGTTCTGCCCTTCAGACCGTGTTGTTTGCATGGTTGAAGATTATGAAGATTACTGGAAAACTTGAATCTAGCCTTGGAGCAGCCCTAGACATGCTTGGCAGTTGTTGAAGCAAATACAATGTGTTAAAGCCAAGTCCTCTAAGTATTAAGAACCATGGTGGCTTGAAATTAAAGTCCCTGAATGCTTTCGTTAACACTTTACAATAAGACTCAGTTTGTTAACATTAGTTCATACATTAGGCATCTAAACATTTCTTGTTACAGAATTTATTGATCTAGGTTAATGTTATATTATTAATATACTACTTAGGCCACTATACTATATACAATACTATCTCAAAATATAAACTATGTTATCACACCATGATAGATAGAAAGATAGACAGACAGACAGACAGATAGACAGACAGACAGACAGACAGACAGATTTCTATTGAATGAAGTAATGTTAACGTTGTTGTAAAGTGTTACCATTCATACTGAGCTAGACAACATGATATTAAAAACAGGCTGTGGAACTGAAGACAGATTATAATTAATAGGCCGATGAATGATCCAGCTCTTAGATTATCCATGAGATCACATTCTTTCCAGCTGTGCCAAACTCCAAACATCCTTCCGATTAAGTCAACATGGATTACATTTCTGACACAGCCAACTACAATAAATGCAAGACAGGACTTGCAACTCAAGTAGTTTTACAGGGGAAGAAGGATTGTTAGTGTAGCCCATTACGATTGCAGCCGTTGTATTAGTGGAATGGTTTTAATTACATGCATGACTTGCTTTGCTGCCTATTCTGTCATTTTCTCATTCTCTGCCGGAGCCACCGGGTGCTGTAATGTAGCACTGTTGTTTTGTTAATTGCTTTGGATCACTGACCGATGGACTTGCAGGGCAAGATGCTTTCTGCCATGTTGTCTCATTTGTTATTTGAAGGTCTAGACTTTAATTAGCCAAACAAGCTCCTCTTTCTTTTATGTCTATATTACAGTCACACATTTTCCATTAATCTTGACACAGACACCTGCTCACTCAAATAATGAATTCCGCTCTTTTATTATGGTCATTATTCCTTAGCCACAGTCATTAAATATCACGGGGGTTGTTAGACTTGAAGCGTCCTGTGTTCTGGACAACAGCCTCAGGAAACATGTTGCACTGTGGCAAATTACTCCACTGCAGTAACACTGAGATCAGTAAAGCTAATAAATCAGTCTGATTTATTAAATATTCTCTCGAAGGTTGATGTTGAGCATAATGATTGCTTAATTATGGAATGGTTCAATAAAGCTGATAAAACAAAGCATTCACATATTGAATGGTCAGCATCTCTCTTCCCAGTTTTAGCACTGAATCCATGTCACTTTTGCAATATGTCAAGTGTGAATATAATGACACTTTCAACGAAGCATTGGAAATGATATGGATACTAGAACAGTGTCTATAATATTGTTCGGATGCATATTGGCTGTGCAGTAAAAATACTCATGTGGTATGCAAAATATGATTAATAAATCATTAGGCAAAGCTCAGTTAATGGCAAACAGTGATGCAATCGTCAACAATCTTTAAGCTTTAATATCCTAAAAAATTTCAATAAATAAGAGGATGTGAATGTGTGATTGTATCGTGTTCTGTTTGCAAAGCTTTTCTAATGCTATGTTACGGGTCTGGGTGCAGTTTGAGCTCTTATGTAACTTGAGTTTGCAGTAACTAACTTTGCCTAATGACTCTAATCTAGCTTATCGGTCAGCCGTCTGAATTGCCTGTGATCATGACAACATCATGTGATATTTATACATCCTCATTTAATGTAGAAGGAAACTTAAACTTGTTACACTTTCCTCATGACCTTTGTGTCAACTTTTGTGTTCCTCGATTGATTGATTGATTTCTACTTTTTTTGCAGCCTACCATATTTGGGACACTGATTGAAAAACCGCTCGGGGATCACAATGCAGTAAGCAAATCATATTCCCTTTATTCTGAATGTTTGAAGAAGAAAAGATGTTGGATAAAATGTGGTTTTGACACATTGACACATTCCTCGGTTTGTTTTGCTGTCACTGATAATGTAGCTTTCCATTTACATAAATATTATTTCTGTAAACCCTGAGACTGTGTTTGAAAATATTTTTGCTCAAGACAAAAGTTGCCCATTTCCTTTATTGTTAGTCACCCAGTTTCAATATTCAGTATAATGCCTGAATATATTTAACAGAGGTAATTAAATGGCGCTCTTGACGGATTTACCACATCAGATAGAGTTGATACAGAATGAGGAGGAATGCAAAGCTTGCCAAGTAGCAAATGACTTATTCAGTTACTTATAGAGCCAAGTGCATGAGGAAACAGACAGCTACGTCTTTCATGTGGCACAACTAATCAATTTGTCGTAACAGTTTGTCATGTTGCCACTTCCTTGCCCTTTGATGGGTTGTGATATTCTTTACTGATCTGTCATTTGTGTATAACAGTGAAGGACAGGAGTAGTACAGGATGCAAATGAAGAAGGCAATATTTGCACCACTTTAGTGTGTGGTATTTAAAACTGCATTTTATTCATTTATTCAAAATTTGCCTGCATTTTCGTATCATCTATTTTTGATTAACTTAATTTAATTTATTAAAAACTCAATTTATTAATTAAGTACTGCAAACCAGTATTCAATATTCAAGTGGTTGACATTCATTTAGGTTTATGTTTAGCTGTGCAGGGCCATGCAGCAAACTGACAGTTGCCCTTTAAAGCAACTTCCTCTCAGTCCTGAGGATACTAAGAGTTGGAGATCATATTCAGTAAAGTTTTGGGCAGCATGCATGCTTTCTCTGCCTAATGAAACCTGGGAGAATCTAGCTTGCCCACAGACACACAGGAGGATCAAGGCCTAATATTATGCTAACGTATGCGTGTCGAACAATGGCTTTCTCCACAGGACTGTGCACCAGAGCCAGTCGACACATGAGATCAGTGCAGAGACTTAACTCCAATGAGATGAGCTATAAGGATTAATGCAATTAGATAATGACATCACCCACGTTAACGATGACAGACGGCTTCCTGAGCCAATAGCAGTCCGAGGAGGGTTGAACCTAAGAATACAACAGAGCAGAGAGAAGGAGAAAGCAAAAACACGGAGGCACAACCACTGGGACGTAACACTACCTTAGTGCGTTCGGAGGAAAACTTCTGCGGTTGCATCTCGATGAACAAGACCACTTGCAGGAGGAAGAATCGGGTAATTATCCTGGATGGTGACTGAAGTGACTGTGATGACTCCCTGACAATGTGGCTGCAGTAATTTTGGCTCAGTGATATATTATAGACAACATGGATTTCAAATTATTTAAGCTGTGAGCTTTATTTGTTTATTACAACAGTTACAACATTTGTACAAAACACTGATTTATTCCGGAACGAAACTGGTGACGGTCTAAATCAGGCTCTTTTTAAATACAATATTTACAGCACACATTATTGGTTAATTATTTATCTATTGTTGCTAAATACATAAATGACAAGTCAAATGTCTTTTGTTGGTGAACAATTTCCTTTTATATTTGAAAAAAAAAAAGTATATATATGTATATATTTATTTTTTTTCAAGAGTATCACATGCACAATGGTCATAGCAAGTGCATCAGAAGTGATGGACAAGTTGTTTTCCATTAGTGTATCATGAACATTTGACTGATGATTGACTAGCTGCCCGAGGTTGTTAATTTAGGTTGGCGTCCCATTACAGTGGCAGGGCAGCTCGGCTGGAGCTCTGGAATTTTAATCAGTCTTTGGGAGTTTTGAGGGGGAGGTGTCTGATTCACTGGACCAGTTAAGGACAAGCTTTATATTTAGAACACATCCGCTCATGGAACCATCTGAATAATACAGTAGTGACCACCAACATAATGAGCTGAACGAACTCGGCAGCAGACTGTATGACAGGGAAGTTAGAAAGGGCTTTTCAAGCTCTACAAGAAGTACCTTTTGATCTCATTATAAGAAGATACTATCCATCTTTTAAAAACACATTATGAACATTATTAAGTTACTGTTTAATATACTTTGACAAATCTCAAGATGGCACACGTTTTTATAAGAATATCCATATTTGTTTTAATCCTTGGGTCCTTGGGTGTGCGATTTCTGTTTTTTATGAGTTATTGGTTTTGATGCCCCGTGGGTCTTCATATTCAGTAGGTTTTTCTAGGTCACCAGTAGCTAACGTCAAAAGCGTTTATTTGATGTCATGCAGCTGACTGCATTGCTATGGCAACAGCAAAAGCTTTTATGCCCACATGCACCCTTTGAAATAGTGAGTCTTCAAAAGAGGAGAAATCATTTTCAGACGACACTGCATCAAGACCTCTGTGTTTTCAAGGTATATTTTAGTTTAACTAGTGATGTTTTACTCATGTTGAACAGTTCTAAATTTCTCATAGTATTGTAAATCATGTTTGTGTGAATGTGCCCCATGTTGGTGAGGATTTCCTATCTATTTTGAGACATAAAAAAGAGGCGCACTTCTGCTACAAGAAAAAGAGCTAGGATGCCTCGGGGGTGAGTAAAACGCAGCCTAACTTTCATTTTGGGGTAAACTAACTCTTTAATGTGTAATTATGACAAAAAGTCATCATTATGACATAAAAAATCAAATTGAGATACTAATTCATAAATATGAGATTAAAAATTCTGAATTTCAACATAAAAAAGACCAAATATGAATTTATTATGTCTTACTTTTGACAGTAAGACAAAAGTCCCCCCCCCCCATACAAATACAAAGCAACTTGTATAAAACATATGATTAAATCCAGATAGCAGATTTAATCACGTTTCCAGTGAGCATCAGCAATTCCATAAATAACCAAATATATAATGAAACATTTTGAGAATACTTTATTTAATGAAGTAGCCTATCTGTCAAAGTGGTTTGTCTTCTGTAGTAAGTGCACTTATATGTCAGTGCTTGTGCAGAGAAATCCAGGATTATCATGGAGTCTGCCAGGCTCTGGTGCACTGCCAACTGATGCAATGCCGGTTGGTCAATCTAACGATGATGCATTATGTAACGAGTCAGGACTTGTTATTGAGCTCCTTATTTGGCCTATACAGTGCTTCTCAACTGCTGTATCATGGCCAAAAATCAGAAGTCTGTTCTGATGCACTAATTAAATATAGTATATAATTAGGATAACTTTATGAGAGAATATTGTTCCCGTATCTTTTATTGTTGTTTTGTTTATTTGCAAATAATCACTTGGTAGAAGCTAGTCAAATTACATGACATACCAACGTCCTTGATGATAAATGATAGTGTGTTCTGTGTGGTCACTTATTTATAAGTCACTTATTTATACAGTAGAAACAGTAAAATTGTGAAATATTATTACAATTTAAAATAACTGTTTTCTCTTTTAATATATGTTTTGTTTGTGATGGATGAATTTTGAAGTTGAATTTTCAGCAGCCATTGCTCCAGTCTTCAGAGTCACATGATCCTTCAGAAACCATTTTAATAGGCTGACTTTGTGCTCAATAAACATTTCTAATGATTATCAATGTTAAAAACAGTTAATACAGTTAAACTTAATATTTATGGAAACCCTGTTTTTTTTCAGGATAATAAGCTCAAAGAACAGATTTGAGATCTTTTATAACAACAAGTGTCTGTACTGTCACTTTTGATTGATGAAATGTGTCCTTGGTGAATAAAAGTATTAATTTCTGTAAAATTTATATTACTGACAACAAACTTTTTGAACTGCATTGTATGACAAATATATTATTAAAAAAATAGTTGCCTCTTGATCTTAGAATACTATGACTTTTGACTCGTCTAGAGCAACTCTCTCTTCTTTCGGACAGAATTCTTTAGTTCTCTGAGGTTTATTCACACCTGTCTTGTTTGGTTCGATTGAATCGAACTCAGGTTCGTTTCCCCCTTTGGTGCGGATCTTTTGGGCAGGTGTGAATACAGCAGTCGCACTCAGGTGCGCACCAAACAACCGTACCAAGACCCAGCTGAAGAGGTGGTCTCGTTCCGCTTCCAAACGAACTCTGGTACGGTTGAATGGATGAACCAATGAATGGATGACCTTAAGCACACGTGTGGTTTAGTTTACAGTTTCTGGTTCACTTGCAAAAAGGGCAGTGTGAAAGCGAACCGCACCAAACAAAAAAAATCAACATTGTATTTGGTTCAGACCAAAGCAAGTGAACTAGCGGATTTTCCTGGTGTGAATACACCCTGAGTAAACATGTGAACATTCCTGTGGTAAGCTTCATGGAAGTTGAAGAACAATGGTTAAGGGTATATTCGTATGAATAACCTACCCACTTGTATGTGCCTGCTTCAGATTTAATGCTGGCAGAACGAGGTACTTGAATGTAAAATGTACCATCTGGTTCTTCAGCACACTGTAATACACTGTGAGCAAAGAAAGTCTTTCTCATGCTCATGAGGTGTTTGGCTAATTAGGAGGGAGGTGTCATATGTTGTTTAATAGTTTTTTTCAATTCCAATGCCTATACTTAAAGTACCATTTTCTATGTTTTCCTATATTTCTTAAATTCGTCAGCAGATAACATGTGCCCTTTATCCTTAGCAATGTTTTTACAGACACAATGCAGTGTTCACTTTAAAGGACCACAGCCTTTATACAATAAAGTCTTATCCTCTTGTAAAAAAGATTTACGCGTCTGTCTCTGCTACAGTGTTGGCACAAACACACTCTGCACCAGGGTTGCCAGGTTTTCACAACAAAACCCGCCCAATTGCTACTCAAAACTAGGCCAAAACTCGCCCAATCGCATTTCGAGGGGGATCCCCCGGTAAAAATCACATTCCGGTGGGGTAAAATACACGTTTTTGGTGGGGTTCCCCTGGTAAAATTCGCATTTTAGGGGCTAAATATCACATTATTGGGGTCGCTTAAACCTGCGGACATGAAAAACAACCT